CCCGACGGTGGCTTTAACACGACCAAACACACACATACCCATCAATCATTAAACGCGAGTTCGAGTGTGGCGAATAGGATGTATTATAACCGTGCGATATTTTCATTTACAACGGAAACACGTAGTGGGTACATTATTCCCGTTGCGCCGATCACACGAAACAAAAGGAATTTTCTCTCCCCTGCCATCATCAACGGCATTGTTTGATATCTGCAAGGGTTTGTTTTTTTCTTATTCTTCGTTCTTGTTATTATTGTTATGGCGCGCGTATTATTCGTCTATGTCGCCGTGTCGTCGTCGTTGGCCGTGGAGAAATGGCGTTTTTTCTTCGTTTTTGTTTTTAAATTCCAAGACAAACTAAAAGGCGACTCGGCCAGCGCGCGCGATCATTAATTTCGGACCGTTTTTAAGTGTAGACGTCATGCGGCCAAACGGCACGTCCATTAACACGTTCGGTGGCGACCAGTGCGGCGTAAGACGCACAAGGGAGGCGTTTCGCCCCGCCGCCGCCGAAGACAGAATTGTGTGACGTAATTTTTGTTTGTGTTGTCGTTACACCGCGTCGGAGCAATTAATTTTTCAACGCGCAAACACACATCCGAAAACTGACAACAGATTTACTGAGTTTGCGAGGCATGTGTACACGTTTTGCTTTCTCTCTCTGTACATATATTATTTTAGTATGTCTTCGTGTACAATAAAATTATCTTGGAATTATCCGAATGGCTATCCGGATTTATGGAGCGTTGAATGCACCATCTCGTAAAATATTAACGAATCGCACTTACCGTGTTCAGTCTTCCGACAGTAATATAATATGTGTAACTGGATTTCAATTGTTAATGTCACCAGCTCAGGACGCATCGTATAAATTTAAAGGGTCTTTATTTTTTGTGTCTTTGTCCGTAATGTAGATTACTCAACAAAAGCAACTGGATCTTGCTGCCGAATCTTCGTAATAATTTATTTGTTTTTACCCTAAAATACTAATTTCCAAATGATGCTGTAAGTGTGATAATTTATTGGTAAAAAAATATATTTATTTAAAAAAATTATATATTATTATTTACTCAAAACGTATAGATACGTTTATTTTATTGGATAATTAAAAAATAATTAAATAGATAAAAATACATGTCACCGATACCTTTATGAGTATTATAATTGAGAAGGCTAAATTTTTATAACTCTATGCAACGTTGCAAAATATATAGTAGTCTTAAAATCCAGACTTATAACTCAATATAATTTAAAAAGATGCTGTTCAAAACATATCAAAAGTTGAACAAGAAAAAAATATAAAAATATATAATGGAATTGTAGGTAAAAGGTATTATCATAATAAATATTAAGAAACACAAAATATTAAACACTTGTGGGAAATGTTTTTTTGTCAGAAAATTAAAATATAACTCTTCTTTCTATGTAGGTACCTATATTTTTTAATTAATAATTTCTGTGTAACTCTGTATAATAATTTACAAATGTAAGTTTTATCGTAAATTTTTAAATTTGAATATTAAAATGTGAAATACATTAATGGCAACGTTTGATATTTTTCTCAATAGTACTGTTTTTTTGGATCTGAGGTTATTTCATTGTTCTGGTTCGAGCTTTATCAATCGTACACCAAAAAAAAAAAAAAACATTCTCAATGGAATTGTAACCATTAAATTATTGAAACGAAATTAAATGGTGTTTAAAAGGATAGAAACCCCGACTTTAATAAGAAACCTAACCTAACCAACTGAACATTTTTTTCCGGTCGCTGGAACTTATTTAAACTAAATTGTTAAATACCGGAATAATAATGGGTAGAAACTAAAAAAAAAAAAGAAAAAATGATGACAATTTTTCATAATTTTTTTTTTTTTTTTTTATTTACACCGTTTAAAAGATAAGAATACACGGTTTTAGCAGGTAGTTCTTTTCATTTTTGAATTTTATAAAATATTATTAAGAAAATTGATTATCTATGTAAACATAAAAATTAAATAAATCATATATTAACACATTATACTATTTTAAAGAGTTTTATTTACATAGAATTATAACTCTCGTTTTTGATATAAAAAAATATTGAAGGTAAACTTAAAGAAAAAATACCAAATTAATCAAATCAAAACATTAAAAAAATTTAAATCTATTTTTAGGAAATTCGTATAATTATTATATTTTTTATGAAATGTTAACCATTTATTTTATCATGACTTAGAAAATAATATAGTAATCATGTCAATCATGATTTAGTTCACACAAGCAAAAAAAAAGCTTTATGATATTTTGGTTACATTTTTTTCTTAAGCTTTTTTTTTTTACCCTAATATATAGAGTTTAAAAATCATCCTTCGTTTTAATGAGCAATTTTCCACAAGATAAAAATCTAGGTAATTAATCAAGCGAATTGTCCTCAGTTCACAGGATTTACATTTAATAAGAGTTCTGTTTATCGTTGATGGTGAACGTATTCTAATTTTTTTCATTTAGGTATAAGGTATTCTTTTTTTGTTTTTATTTTTAAGATAACAGGATGAACATATTATTTTTTTTATAAATGTAACTATTTTCGGTTTTATTTTCAATTTTAAGGTGAATTTTTAATAGAAAATCGGATATAGTTTGTTTGGACATCCAAGAATTTTCAACTCTAAGATCAAAGTTTAATATTGTATTTAATCTGATAATATACGAGTAAAATAATCATTGTTAATGAATAAAATGGAAGCTAATATTTCTAAAGATCAATACAATTTTTTTTCAATAATTTTTTTTTCACTTACAAGAATCAATATGCCAAAATTCGTTGGCGATGTGCCAAGAAAATATGTCCAGTAAAATATACTTTATTTTTTTATTATTTAATATTATATTATATCATTTATTTTTGTATCCGTATTATACAAGGTACTTCATTAAGTCGTATTTTTTTCTTTTGCATTAAAATCTATCACACATTGAAATGTATACCATACAAAGCCATAATATTTGTTTGTGTTTTAATATTTTGTTGAAATTAGAAAAAAAAACTTAAAACTTTATTTCACTTCTTATATTATTACTATAAACATTATTTACAATGTAATTTTGTGATTAATATTAAGTTTTTTTATTTAAAAAGCATATTTACACCATTCTAAGATACATTTATATTTATTTAAAATTAAGAAAATTAAAATCACCTAATGATATCATAATAATTATTTTATAACATATATTTTTTAGAAAAAATGTGTTTATTAAATGTATTGTAAATAGAAAAACAAATTGACGGCAATATTATAAGTAATATATAATCAAATAAACTTCGAAGTATAGAATGACAAAAAATTCCACTAAGACACTTTTTGTAGAGATTTTTTATCAAATAAAAATTGAATATAAGAATGACTGTGTCATTAAAATGATAACCTCTTATTAAATAACATATTTTATTTAACAAGTTGATTCTCACGGTTTTTTTTTTTTATTTATTAAAATAATTTACATATGTGCTTGTGATATATCTTCTAAATTATAACTAATGTATGGTATATCCCAATATCAATTGTGAATAATTGTAAACAAAATTAATTAAATATATCTAATTTTTTTAAAGAAAAAAAGTTTATTAAGGATTCAATTTTTAAGTTATAAAATATTTTACAACACAAAATATTGTATGATAAAATATTAATATAACTACTATATAAATATATAAATATAAATACATGCATAAAAGCAATTAACAAGTTATATTCAAAACACGTTTCAAGAAAATATTAAATATGGTTTTTTTTTTTTTTTTTTTTAAATTAAAGACGATGGGAAATTTGGATTTATGTTTCAAAGTGTGCTATATTGTATACAGTTAACATTAAAGTTTAAAGTAGGACTAAATATTATGTATACAGATAATTTATAAAATTTATTTTTTTCATAACCTATTTAACACGTTTGCTTCAATTAATCTTATTTTATGAAAAAAAAAATAATATTTATTCTACTAAAAGCTATTCTTATTTTTAAATCACTTTTTTATTACATAAAAAATAATTACAATATTAATACACATCGTTATAGTTTTTTAATCAAATGTAGTGAATATAATACGTTAAAATATTTTTTTTTTCTTTTGAATTAAGCAATTTGGATACAGCAGTAATTAAATTTGATTCATTAAATTAAGACTTTATGGATAATATGACTTTTTTTTTTATATATCGTCTTTCTATTAATTAATTTACAACAATTATTTAAGGTTTTATTAAAATATAATATTTTTGAAATTGTTATAAAAATTAAATTGGTTATCAATGATTAAAAGAAAATACAAAATCATGTTTCATAGAATTCGTGTTAAATCAACTTGTCAATTATAAATTTATCATACAATTATGATTAAGTTATTATTTTAATAATTTAAGGTTACTTAATATAAAACATTATTGATAATATATATATTTTAATATTAATATTGTTAGCTATTATAATAAAATATAATTTATGTTTTTTATTGATAACTTAATTTTCTGATTTTTATAGTAAAATATTAATTATCACAATAATATATTTGATATTTGGTTTTGATACTATTATATGAGGTCAGGTAGGATATTTACAATATAGCGAAGTGAAAACATAAAATATGGTAAATATCGATCAGTAAATGTTATTTTAATACTAATTTCTTATACTGCACGATATTATTATATTTTTATTTAATTTATCAGAGTGGTTCTCAAACTTGTTTCTTCGCGGATCCTGTAAAATGCTAAAAAGATTATTGTAAAAAACTCCAAAAAGTAGGAAAGTAGGGGTATACAAAAGTTATAAATCATGATTTTTAAGATTACATTTAGACCTGTCCGTGGATCCCTAAGATCAATTTTTAGAGACTTGAGATTAAGTGATGCACATTTTGAGAACCTCTGTCTTATCTAATTATGCTAATCTACATTAATATTTTATCAAAAACATACTATTTCATTAGTAACAATTAAGAAAAATATTGTAACAACATATAGTTTTAAACTATCAAAGTGTATTCATTTCAGTTTAGTTCATTCTTTGTAGAAAAAAAAAATACAAAATGAAGAATAAATTAATGTTCCTTATTTTTTTCTATTATGTGTTTTGCACTATTGCAGAAGAAACAAACATTTATAGGTAATACTATCATATGTATTAAAATTATCTGTTTAATCTAAATGCGTTTAGTATACATATAGAACCGTATAACTATTTTAAAGTAAGCATTGATTGAGTTAAATGATTTTGATTTTTTTAGTATGCCATTAATTAGACGAAAATCACCACTTCAAATGTTAATTAAAGATCCACATTATATGAAAAAAATAAATATTCAAAAAGTGCATCCAATGAATGAGAATATTACACTATTTAAGTATATGGATGTAAGTATTATAATATTTTTAATTAGGTATTCAATATTTTAAAATAGTTTTAACACAAAATAATTTAACTAAAATACCTTTGATTTGAGTGAAAATATAAAAATTGAAAAAAGCTAATAAAATAATTTCTTTAAATAATCTCAAATTATATTAATTTATTAATTAAATGAAACATATATATATCTAAATTAAAAATTAATTTTTTTTAAGCCATATGAAAAAATTTACGGGTATATTAAAAACTTAAATTTTTATTTACAATATTAGTTTTTTATTGAATAATTCGTTGATAAGGTAATAATATTTTAATAATAATACAAGTATGAATAATTTCTTGATAATTATTATTGATTTGAATCCGTTAATTTAAAATTATTGTTTTATCGACATTTTTGTAATAATTAGTTTTTTTTTTTTTTTTAAATCAAGTCCAAATACACGAGTATTATAGGTATAAGTCAATCTGTAAAATGTATTTTAATCGTAAACTATATTACATTTTTCATACATTAAATAATTATGTAAACTTTATGTGTTTGAATAGGGCTAAAATTAGAAAGCAATTAATTTGTTAGTCCTATTTCGGTGACCCACTCTGTATATAACACTATAATTATTGTATTTATTCATTCTATTTAATTCTATATTAATACAATTATGAGACGTTCGGAAATAATGATAACTTTAACTATGTCTTAAGTAAAAAAAAAAAGTACTGACCAAAGTGTGATTATTTAGAGTGAATACTACGCAGAAATATTAGTCGGAAAACCTGGACAGAAATTTACAGTAATTTTTGACACAACGTGGAGTGATATGTGGATACCATCAAAACTATGTTCAAAAGATATATATCCGATCTGTGGTAAGTTTTTATTAATTTATTTATATATTTACTAACTGTATTACTTTTTAGTTTCCATTTAAAAAATTGTTGATGTTCATATGTAATATTTATTTATAATATATAAATATTTCAAAGGTAAGAAACATTTATATGATCAGGATATTTCGTCATCGCACAAATTTATAGATCCAACACCGTTTAATGTAGATGGATTGGTTGGGAATTTAACATGTGACACGATTGTAGTAAGTTATATTTAAAACATTATATACTATTTCAAGAAATAAATTGAATAAATGATATAAGCTTATGATTATCTATTTTTAAAAGTTCTAAAAGGAATATTAATACTTAACAGTGATAAATATGGTAGTTAATTAGTATGATAAATATTATAAAAAATTAAGTCATGATTGGGTGACTATATTTTTTATGATTTTTCTACTCAATGCACACTACTTCGCCCTTAAATTATGATGAATTACGTTGTACATTGTATAAACTTAATACATGTTATAGTCAATAACCTTTAAATTTTCATCGTAAATTGATTAATAAACCTCTAAAGTTGAGGTATCATGGTGGAAATGGTAAGCTAGGTAATTTAAATGTACTACCTTAAAGTTAAATCGCTAAATTTCACCAAAAGGTGATTGTATTCTTTAGGAAATGACGTAGATATTTTATTAGAAATTCCCTTTATATAGCTTGTGCATACTTATATAATGCTATATTTTTGAAAGACAAGAAAACAAATAGAATAAAATTATAATATGTAATTTAGTTGAAATTTAACTAATTGTTTTTCATTAAATAAATAATAATTACTTAAAATTTTAGAACCTGAGTGAAGGGATGAATAAATTCGTATAATATTCATTTTTTCTGTAATAATCTGTTAAATTTTATTTAAAACTTTGGTGGTAAAAATAGATTAATATGATAAATTTCGAGAAATTACGTAAAAAAAAAAATTACAATACTTTCCAAAATAATTGGGGAAAAAAATTAAAACAAAATTTGAATTTTTATGCTTCACTAATTTTCTTCGAAATGTATTTTATTTGTTATCATAAATAGAACACCAATGTTTTGTTAAGTATTTTATAGGCATAAAGTAAATTTCAAAATATTTCAAACCTTTCTGAGCTATTTACAGATGTTTAAATTTGTTTATTTGTTTTTTTTTTTTTGATTTATGTATGCTACAATTTTTTTCATTTTTACCGAAAACTAAAACTTATGGTAGAGTTAAGTAAGGCTTAACTTAAAATGTTGATTACAAACTATGATTATGACATTAAAAGTATTTTAGAAAGATAAACAAATATATATGCTATAGTCATATTCAAAAGTTTAATTATATATTGTTTTATTTGAGATATAAAAGATATATAGAATCAAACAGAATTCTAAAACATAAGGGACATTAAAAAAAAAAAAAAAATCGAAATGATTTAAATAATTTTAAGAATAATAAATATGTTTTGTATTAATATTTGTTCAATTATTAAAATTTCACAGTTAAAGTTTATTTGAGTTAAATTAAATCAATTTAAAAATAAAATACCTAAAATGTATAATCACACTATAATTATTCAGCTAGGTCATTTGAATGTTACTGACTTGATATTTGCTGAAATCACTGGGATATCAAACTTAATGAAATATCAACTCATGCACGCCGATGGAATAATTGGTTTAGGATACAACACCAATGCTAGAACGACAAACAATACATTTTTTTATAAGTTACTGGATGATAAAAAAATTTTAAATCCAATTTTTTCAGTGTACATGAATCGGTAAGCAATAAATTATAATTTGTAAATATGTACACTACTCAACAACTTTTGTACATAAAATGTTTATACACGCTCCTATATACAAATAGCATGTACGATATACTTTAACTTGGTTCCCACACCGAATATGAATGTGTTTAATGATAACAATATTTAAATACATTATTTTACATTGTTGAGCTAATATTTGATTGAAAATGTAATAGTATTTAGCTCATTAAATATCACTAAATAATAACCAAAGTATATTATTATTATTATTATTATACTGTTATTAATAATTATTAATACATATTAAATTGTGTGCAAAACGATGAATTATAATTGAAAAAACTGCAATGACTTAGAAATAATATGCGTAATTTTTATTTCATTATTTTTTATTTCTTATTCATTTTATGTTGATTATATATTTGGTAAAAGTTTCATTATAGGTTTGACTTTTAAAAATTAAAAACAATTTTTTTTTTTTTTTAATGTATGACTGTTTATGTAATTCAAAAAAAAACTTTAATATAGAATCGAAAAATATTCAGCTATTTCACATATTATTAATATCTATAAAAAATGAAAAATGTTTTAAACTATTTTACAGTAGATATGTATTTCATATCAACGTGTAATACGGTAATTATTGATTTGCTTAGCAATTCAATTATGTATTCTAATGATTACCGTAATTTTAAAGATACAAAATAATTTTAAAATTATAGTATTTAATGCTATTCTAACCATTTTAAGATTTATTAATATAATTTCTGAGTTTAATAATAAGTAGGTACTATACTAAATATTACATAGTATATTTTATGCAAAACCGTTTCTATAGACTATTATCTTTAATTAACAAAAAAAATGGTACTTCATTTAATAACATAGTAATTACTTGTTCAAAATTAAATTTATACACGTTAACATTTAAAATTATACAGAAAAAAATGTATCTACTTAACAATAGTAATTTAAAGAGGAGAGATAATTATCTTTTGAAAAAAATAATTTTGTGTTGCCACGAGAGTATCTTTTCTCAGATTGAATACAATCTCAATTTTATTTTTAAAGATATGAGTTAATATTTTATTAATAGCTACGATATTAATTTAAGGACCAAAATCAATTTTTGAATAAATTTATTTCTAAAGAAGAAAAGAAGTTGATAATTTATGATAAATCACTTTTTATTATATTTCTTATAATTAATAACTTATAGCTTCATTATATTATAAACTATATATAGTATGTAATCAAGTATAAACAATATAAATCTATATTCAATTAAAAAATACAAATTAAATTATGCCAAAAATTTAAAAATCAAAGTAAGTTACGAATTGTTTCTAAATTAATAAAAATTATTTAAATACGAAATAAATGCATAAAATTATAGTTTTAATATTGATACAATCATAATTTTATTTCAACAGGGATACGACAACACCGAAAGGAGGAACAATATTTCTTGGTGGAATTGAACCAAAACATATCAAAGGTGAAATAACATATGTCCCTGTAACACAAAAAAACTATTGGCAAATTGAAATGAATCAGTAAGTATTTGTACAGAATAAAAATAAAATCAGATTTTGCAGGACATAATCAGTTCATTATTTTTTTTACTATTCATATTATGTACATAGGTACGCATAATAAATGCAAAACAATTATTAATACCATAATTTAAAACTAAAAATATTAAATATACTGTTGAGATGATTAAGGTTTTTTTTTTTCTTTAAATAACTAATTCAATGATTTTTAAAAATATGTTAATCAAGCTCAAATTGAGCGAGTGGTTTTTGTTTTTTTTGATTTTCTGTTCGAAAACAGATAGAATCATTAAAATGAGTTAAGAAAATATGAGGTTTCACGAATATGGATAAATACAATGATACCAAGAGCCTAAAAATAAAAAAAATAAATATATAATTAGAATAAAACATTCTTAAAGAAAAACATGAAGTGATTGATTTGATGCTTACCATAAGTAAGTATAATACTTTAGTACCGTTACATTTAGACTTGTAAAGCTCTAATCAAACTATAAGCTGATAGTGATTTAATGACATTTTATTATAACAAAACAATATTAATTGTTGTTATTATTATATAAAAAAAGTATTTAATAATATTTATATATTACCCATAACTAAATATGTACATAAGAAAAAATAATTATAGTTTATACTTAACTAGTACGAAAATCGTTTTTAAAATATGCTAAAATCTACTACTTATCAAATTAATCCAATCAACCAATATATATTACTTCTGTGGCAATACGAAAACAATTTTTATCTATTTAAAATATTATAGAGAATACCAAAAAAATATTTTAGCCATAAAATGTGTTAACAAAATCATGGTGAACAATATTATAACACATGCATGATGTACATTATTAAGCTTTATATTTTAATCTAACTTATATTAAACAATTTATCATTGATCTAATTAAATAATCTAAATCTTATTAATTCAAATATATCAGTATATAACATAAAATTATTGAAAGGTAATAATTTATAAGACTCTTGAAAGCTTATAATATTATAATACGTATCTTACATACATAATGTATTTTACTTTATACTAGGTATAATAATTAATTGGAATTTATTACCGATTATAAAGATTACTATTATGTTATATTTAAGCATATAGTTTAATATACAAAATAAGTACTCACAGAGAGCGTAAATTATATATTTAGTTGATATTCAACATACGAATTTCTGTATAATAAATAAATAAGTACCTATAAAGTATTTTTGATCTTTACAAGTGAACATACATGTTTTATATGCTTAGCTTAATCAAATTTTCAAAATTAATTTATATAATAAATCTTATTTATAAATTTTATAAACTTAATGTCATCATTTTTATTGAAATATTCTGTTTTTATAATCGTATTATAATATCATGTTTAAATAAATGTATTATATATTATTTATAATTTATGTATTCTTTAAATTTAAATTTATAAATTAAATTAAAGATTTCGAAAAGAACAATAAATGATTTTAATACATTTTTTTGAGTATTTTATTACGTTTTGGATCAAAAAAAAGATCCATAAACTTATTAAGGGTAGTAAGTTTTAGGTTAAATTTTACCAAGTTTAAACATTTAAAATTTTTGATAGTTAAAATATTTCTTTAGTTTGTTTTAATAGAAATATAGAAACTTTTTCTCTATAAAAATATTTAAAATTTAATACAATGTTCCTCATTTGATAACGATTTTTTTTAAACAATTACTTATATATTACTTGGAGAAAAATAAATTACTATTAGTTATTTAAAAAAATTGATTTGAAAATATCCACAGTAATAAGTCTGACGTACGGTTTTCATTTAAAAGCAACTTTTATACAGATACAAATATACAATAATTTATTATTGAATTAAAATACAATACATCCAAAGCAATTCCCAATTAATTTAAAAAGCAAGTTAAGTAAAATTGAAACTTTATATACAACATAGCATATCGCTAGGAATTATTTTAATGCTCTCATGTTTAATATTCAAATTGCTTATAATAAATATTGATCAATGCGATGCACTATATTTTCAGTCTGTATATCATATTTTGACTACATATTATGATCTATGAACTATTAAATAAAATAATATAAATTAAATATTCTAGTTTAAATAGGTTTGAGTCACCTTAGACCGGTATAAGAACATTTAATGTTTTTAATGATAAAAATTAAATCCATACTGTTAATAATGTAAACGTATTTAGGTTTTCAGTACAAATAAACAAAACAAGCACAAAGACATTTTGTGATCAAGGATGCCAAGTGATATTGGATACGAGCTCAAACAAAATTGGCGTACCTCCCGAATACGTAACTGCCATAAATTCTCTAGTTAAAGCAACTTTATATTTTTACAATAGATACAAGGTAATAATAGTTAAACATTTCTTTTTTTGGGGCTTCATATTAAGTTAGTGGCTTTTTTTTGTTTAGTATTTTTCATCTATTTTCAATAAGTTGATAACTTATTTTATAACAAAAACATTAAGATTATACATTTTTTCAACTTAAGATATCTTTAAATATCATATACATAGGTATGACACAACGATAGAGCTTTTACTCGCCAACAAAAATATTTTTAAAGATATGTACTTTTTTTTCATTTTTGGATTACAAGTAGATATTATTTTATGCTACATATTCTTATATTTTTCCACGATACTAATCAAAATATAAAACAGTAATAAAATATCGTGAAATCAATTATTATTTATCACAAAATATAATATTAACTCATAGCTTATTATAGTAGCATAATATAATATTCAATACATTTTACTTTAAAATCTAAACATTTAAGAAATAAAAAAAAAAAAAGTACATACTTTGAGCCAAAATAATTATTGTACGTTAATAATGTGTAAATATTATGTATTACAATTTGTGTTGCACGTATTCTAGTTTACTAACTGTTTACAACCACTTACAAATCTTAACCTATCAAGTAATTAATATAAATTATCTTACATGCACATCATAGGTACCATGTTCATTAGTGAATAAGTTGCCAAAAATCACTATCAACATAGGCTCTCGAGATTTTCATATTAGTGGAAGACATTACATCCAAAAAGTGAGTATCAATAAATAATAACGTTTTAAGTTTCAACATGAACTATTGAGACATTTTAAGCATTATACTGTTTAGATGGAGAATGAACAAAATGGAACGATTTGCATAACAGCGTTTAGTGATTCAGAATTGAGCGATGGAGTATGGTCATTAGGGGGTGGATTTTTGTCTAGTGTTTACACTACATTTGATTTAGAAAACAATAGAGTTGGATTTGCCAATTTAAAATAAAATAAATTTAATTTTAAATATCAAAATTACATTTATATTAATTACAAATAACTAAGTAAAATTGTTTTTTAGTATATTAATATTAAATATATAACAACAAGTTTTTTACTTATTAAGGCCTAATAATCTTTCTGGTTATCAAAATAAATAAATATTGAATGCAAGATAAAAAACATATTTTAATAAAATATTATTAAAGAAATTACTAAAATATTAATTTGTAAAATTTGTGAACTTGAAATGAATATGATATAAAATAATGTGTTATTTGTTGTTTAATAATAAAAACTTGCATTAATTGTAAAAATTATAGTTTTATATCTGATATGAACGCTCATAATAATGTAAACAATACCAGAAATATTATACATTTTAATATCTAGCTAATATTTGGGACCTTTATTTGAAATGTAAATTTACTGATATTGATTTTAGATAAGATTAAAATAATTATGCCACACAAAAAAAAAAAACGATGTTGCATTGGCATTGGAATTGTTATTTTTTAATGATTTATCTATGAGAACCAATTTACAAATTTAACTAAAATAATTTGTTTTGTAAAAAAAATGCAATTATTTTAATTTAATTTAAATTGGTTGTGTAACTATTGAGTATGTTTTTGAAGAGGTATATCTTGATAATATAATATACATTTAAGTGATTTTTAAACAATTAGAAATGATATGACAATAAACACACAACTCGCTCACACATAAAGTTAAATATTTCAATACTTAATGATTAACAAACATACAAAATTAGTAGATGCTAGAAATTTGAAGTATCAGATGTATGTAGGTAAAATACCCCTTTTTGGAGTCATAAATAGTTTACACTTTTTACTTACGTTTTATTACACGTTCTATTTAAATGCAAGTAAACGATGCTAGGGAAATTTAAAATTGGTGACATCTGGATACACCATCTGCTTCAGTGACTTTTTAATATTTGCTTTATATTATTACCCATTTTGGGATTATTTTATAGAGTATATATATATTAAACAATCACATAATAACTATATTTTAAAAACAAGTGTAAATTTAAGCACATTATTATAACCCAAATTGTTTCGTAAAATAATACAATCTCTTATTATCAATTTTTCAAAAATCTGAATATTGTCACTAATAAATTTATATTTTATACTTACAAAATAATGTTTTGATTTAAAATGAGTTCGATTTCTTTGTTTATGAAAATATGAATAAATTGTACATAATTTAAGATTTAAAATAAGCTTTTTAAAAGAAAATCATTTAGGACAAGTAAGAGTAACGTTGTATCACAATAATTCAAACTTGAAAATTTGCTCTAACTTATAATATTTGACTCAAAAAAAAAGAAGCTTTTTGTGTAAATAAACGTTTATTTTCATTTATTTTATACATGTATTACATTTTTGTGAAACTTTTTTTTATTAGTTTGACCTGTTTAGACGTAAGAAAAAATGTCACAATCACTTATTACAACAACAATTTTCATGAAATACATAAATATTTTTGTATTCATATAAAATATAAAAGTTGTTAGGTATTAACGGTTTTCTTATTTTGGGAAAAGTAAAGCGGGTGGTTTCTAATCCAATACAAAATTAGCTAATTTATAACATAAGTAAAAGGTATAAATATTTAATTTTATTTTAGATATATGTAATGTTATTCGTGAATCTTGATCATCTAGGCATCGGATATGTATTATATTGTTTATAATATATTCATCAAATAAACAATAAAATGCCTTTTATGTTATAATATCGTTTATTACGGAAAAAATCCAATTTACAAGACAGTTAAAAAAAATATTTAAAAGAAATAAATTTTTATGTCAATGATTGTCACATCGTTTTTATTCAGGATTGTTCTGTTTTTTAACAAAACATTTTAAGCAACCTATTTGAAAATTGATTAAAACATCAAGAGTTTTTTGATATGAAATATTTCAATGACAATAAAACAATAGGCGATGGATATTAAATAAAAAGAATAAAAACAAAAACGTAAATAGGTCGTGACATTAACGTATTTAAAATATGTGATCAAAATAAAAACGTATCAAGTGCATACAACATATCAATAAATAGTAATAATTGTAAAAAAAAATATCTGTTAATTACATGGTTTTATGACCAAACCTAGAATTATGGATTAAATAATGCTTAGCATGTATTATTTAAAATAAGAAATAGATAAAAAAAAATTGTGAATCTCTACTTCCATTCAAAGAAAAACAGTCAGGTCATTAATATTATGATATGAAAATATCGTTTATGAATAACTCTAACATTCTAAATACAATACGTAGATCATAATAATGTACCTATATAAATGTTATAATATTCGTACATAACTCATTTATTAAGAAAGAACACTCGATTTTAGCTACGATAACAAAGTAAAATAAATTACTATGTTATACGGTAATTTAAAACTACGGTATAGGTAGGTACATGAAAGTAGATATTATAATATTATGGCATCCAGTCATTTGTAGAAAAAGTAACATCATGGTTTTTTGTTAACGAAAATGATAGTCATTTACCTTTTTTTTTTTTTTGGTTTTTGATATATCTTCTAATATTTTTAAATAGTGAAGAATATTGTTTATAATGTATTAGATAGTGCGAATTGATTTGTGCATACCTATGATACGTACTTGAATATACAATGTGCATACCTGCATATTACAATGTCTACGGCGTAAACGAAATGACGTCCGCAACACTGGATTTTCTCGTTTTCGATTAAAATTATAATTATTGGAATTAACTCAATTCAATCCAAAATAATATACTCGCCATAATGAACAATATTATGTAATACAATATGACGCTGCGGTATCTGATCGGTCGAGTGCACAATTAGGGCCCAACTATTATACTGGTGAAGTTACATGCTTCTGGAGACATTGCGTTTTTAAAAATTGACAAATCCGGCCACGATACTATAATATCTGTTTTGTTTGTATTTACTGTTGAAAACGATAATAGTACTGTACTGAATATAGTTTTGATTTGTCTTAATTAAATGGGGCATATACAATATAATAATATGCTTGTCATAACTGGTATCATTTTCCAGTCAATCCCTACCGTATAATATAAAATATGCAATTCCTGAAATATCTGTACATATATTTATATATTATACACATTATACACAACTATAAAATAATAGCTGTAAATATATGATGGATTCTTCTTCTTTATAAATTCAAATGTTTTTGTGTGTTATATTGCAATGGTGTAAGTTTTAATAAAATAAATGTGTCTACACTTTACGTACAATATACTTAAATACCATTTTTATCTAACATTTTTTTTTTTTTTTAATTTGTAAAATGCATATTCAGTCATACATAAAAATTATTAGGTATACACTATACACAGATCAATCAAATAAAATTCATGTCTGGTAAACACATGCTTCTAAATCAAAAAAATTCATATTTAAAAAAGTGTTGAGTTCCTTATTGTATTTTATAACGTTTTAATTATTATTATTATTATTTACAATCGTAAATTATTACATAATTTAAATTCTTTCGATAATGGATTTGTTTTTTAAATTAATTATTTTTTATGTAATTTTAACTGTAATTATTATTCTGATACAGATTTCATTGTTTGTATGTTATGCTAGATATTACATACAATTAACCTAATAATATTATACACATATTTGTATAATACAATTGTTAAATCAGGTTACTAAAAATTTTAAACTACTCACTCGCAGTAAAATATTTAAAATAATTTTGATTTAAAAAATTTTTAGTTTATAACGATTTTATTTAGAAAATACATCATAATATTTAACTTGACAAAATGTTGTATGAGATCACTACATCTAAAATTATAAATATATTTAATATTATAAAATGAAAAGCCAAATGCATATGCATACATAAATATTACACGCTTTATAATTTACTCATGTACTACATTATCTAATTATTTAAAACCACCCACGTACGGCTCAAATGTTGTTACTAAATACTTTTTGCACTGTGTTATTTAGACATGCCTAAAGACATTGTTGGTAAATACTCGTTGATACACATTTTATTACAATATACAATTATTATGATAAATAGTACTCCGTTTGGTGTATTGAAATCTATCCAAACGAAAGTATCGTATATTATTATATACAGAATGCATACTAAATATAAGCTCACTCGTCATAAATCTTTTCCCTTTACTCCTGTACATTATGGTTTTAAATATGATATATTTTTTTTTTTTTTACATAGCTTTGCGCACTGTGACCATATTTTTTGCTTATGTTACAATACTAAAATGTCGATCATAAAACTGAATTTCTGCTTGGACTATCACAAGATGAGTGCTCAGTCTCGACAGTTGATAAAAAGCTTCCTGCACTTTCCACAAAAGTGTCAAGGTCTTAAATGAAGATCTAGTGAATTTAATACTCTGAGGTTTCCATGACAGAGTGACAAAAAATATCGCATATGTTAATACATGTATCAACGAGTATAATATATTATGTGAAACAGAGTTTTCTATCTAATTTTCACTTAAATTGTATTTGTTTTAGTTTTTTTTTTCATTAAAATAAAAATAAATGAATACATAATGTTAAGGTAATCTTACACTAATATTACAGTAGCATAATATCTGATTAATTTAATTCGTTGATTTAGATCATTTGATCATAAGTTCAGTTATAATGAAGCTAATTGATCATTATCTTTTGATCGTGTTTTAACATTTTATACTATCGTAATAATATAATTCTATCGACTATAGCAGTTTCAAAAGTTCGATTAATAATTTTTTTTTTTTTTTTTTAATATTAAATTAACAATGTTCATAACTTAATTCATTATACTGAGCATACTTTTTTACCATGCTTGACGTTTTATTTGCGGTATAAAACTTGTTCTAAGCTTATTTTATCGTCAGGATTTAACCTTTTTTTAACCTATATGTATTGATAAATAGGTGAATATTATCCAGTAAAATAGTTTGTTGAAATTAAGACTGTGAATTTGACATTTCATTATAAATTCATATTGTTTTGAA